TCCCAGCTTTGGGTGCCTTTAATGTTGCCAGGCATTCTTTGCCATGCCCTTCTCCTTTTCCAAACCCACACCCTCCACCGGGAGAAGGACTTTTGGGTACTTGGCTTGAGTCCTACTCACAGTTCCCCTTGTCCCTTGCACACAGCCTGAGAGATATAGTCAGATCTCTGTGTCCTTCCTCTGTCCAAGGTGGTTGTGGACCAACGTGGGGAGCCCTGGCTCCTCCTGACCTGTGGGGTTTGGTTTATCATAATCCCTTCTGAGGCTGCCTCACAGATGGAGCTACGGGGGTCTTCCAGGCTTGGGAGCGCACACCCTGCCCCTTGCCTTCCCGGCCACCTGGGCAGGGATCTTGGCACTCTCTCGGCCTTGGCTTTCTGCGGAGCTCTCCCCACAGAGAGGTCTTGAGGGTTTCGGAGGTGCTTCTCTGGGTATGCTCAGTAATCACACCTCACGGGAAGCCAGCAGCCCTCCACAATGCTCTGCTGCCCTCGAATGCAAACACAGTTCCTCCCCGAGTTGGTGTCTGGGATGGAGACCTTCTTCCTGCTGTCTGGAGTCTCTGTCCCTCAGCCTCCAGCTCTTCCAGTGCTGCTGCGTTTTTATTCATTTTCTTGGTCTCTTAAACTCCCTTGATTGGCACTTGCCTCTTCCTCTTCAGTCCCTCTGTCTGCAGGGGCTTCTCCCTGGACTACTGTCTATTCCACAGTGACTAGGTGAGGTGCTTGCCCGATAGCTCCCAGGCACCCCTACACTGTCTCCAGGGAGCCGCAGGTTTGCCTGTGATGCAGAGGTAGGCAAGGGATTGGCAGGGGCCATCTCTACCTGGAGCAGCCATCACTACTCCTAGGGCAAAGTTCAGGTGCACACGAGCCCCGTTACCCTAACCCCAGATGGCCCTCCTGCCTCCCCTCACTCTCTGAGATCCAGCCATAGGAAGCATCTTTCATTTCTTCCAGCATGTGTGGGCTCTAGGTCTCCACGTGTGCTCTCCCATTTTAACTTCTTTTTGCCCTTGGAGACTACTTAAATGTCATTTTGGCAGAGTCTTAAGTCCTTTCTCAGGCCTTGTCAAAGACCCTTGCCATACCTTCCTGATGCACTGTGTTTTTGATCTTAAAAGAGCTATGCCATTTATAAACGTTTTTTATTGTGTCTGGTGGTAGAGAGGCTGGGGTTTCCTTGTGTGTTGGTGGTCAGGCTCACCACGCTGCTGCACAAAGGCCGAAGCAGGTCATTTGGGATCTCTTTTCTCTGCCCCTCTCTAACCTCTGTGATGACAGAGCTGGTTCTGTCCTGTGTATCACTGATGCCAATATTGGGCTAAAGAAAGGCTCATTAAATTTGGGACTGTTAACTGTGAGAAATTGCAAACACTTTGCATCTTTAGGCATTGACAAAGATCTCACTGCCCTGGAGGACTTTTCCTACAGATTTACATGATTTCTCCTATTTCCTGAGGACAAGGTGAGGGTAAATGATACTTTTCCTTATTTTTTACCCAGAGAGCAGCAGGCCTGGCCTAGGGACAGTGACGCAAAAAGAACAGTAGGTGTGTAGAGGATGGCGTTGGTGGAGGAAGTCCTGGTGAAAGAGAAGGGGGAAGGGAAAGAAGAACCTTCTGGAATTGAGTGTGGAGTCTCAGGGCCATCCTGGGTGACAATGTTGTGAGCAGGTGCTGGCCCAGGACCATGCTGGTGGCTCTCAACTTGAGAGGAAGGCGAGGTCTTGGCCCTCGGGCAGCTTTTACCCTTGTTGTTCCTATATTTTACTGACACAGCCAGAGAAAGGCTCTGCTGTTAGACTTGATTTGAATGTGTGTGATTAGTATTTAATTTGTTTATCATTACAATGGCCTCCCGTACTGCAGATTTCCAGTCAGGCCCTGTGGACACAGAGTCATTTTAGGCTAGAGGCAGTTTTAGAGACAATTACCTCTTCAGCTGCTAAAATAAACAAACAAAAAAGCAAGAAACCATCCTAGTAGTTGGAATCACAAATATAAGTGTCTGATCCCTGCAGTTTGACCCTAACCTACTGGGATGAAATCTTATCGTTTATTCCCAAGAAAGTGCAGCTTTCCCGGAGCTGACATGTCCTTTGCCACACCTGTCCAGGTGGCCCTGACTAGCCAGAGTCCTGTGCATTCAGTGGCGTGAAACATGGCAGGGCACACATACAGGTCAAGTCAGACACCCATCAGTCATGGTCTTCCCTGCTGACTCTGACCAGATCCAGGGGGTGGTGAGTAGACACAAGCTCCTGGCAACCAGCTGACCTGTCTCCTTGTTCCTAATAAAGCCACCAGGAAAGACCCTTGGTGTTTGCCATATGCTTCCTAACTAAACTTCCAATCTCTGCCACATGCTAGCCTGTTGGAAACACATTTTCATTTTGATGTGGCTATTCTGAAGTAAATGTGTATAAAAACATGTGCTTTTTGTCGACCAGATGATGACAGTGCCACTGCGAAGGCTGTGCTCTTGCCATGCTTGTAAAACTAATGGAGTTTTGTATCTCTTTACTAAATACGCTATTATCAGATGAAAAAGAAATTACCATAAAAATTCCGTTAGTACCACAGGGAATTTTTCTGGGAGAGATGTTCACTGTTTCCCATTACCCAGCCCAGTTTTTGCTTTTAAGGAAAAGTGCCCGCTGTGCCTGTGCTCAGGCACATAGGCTCATGGTATTGTACCCTTTTTCTTTCTCCTGTCACTGCCAGCCAGCATGTGTGTCTCTGTCTGAAAACTCTGCCCTCATGTTGCTGGGTCCTAAAACCTTCCTTGCCGGGGAAGCAGAGGCCCTCCGGTGCCCCTAGAAGCAGCATCCTATACTAGGCTGCAGTCTTCAGCAGAAAATGCCCAGCACAGGCGCAAGCGAGAGGCCTTCACTCCTCCACCCCCAGCTTCTACTTGAGGGGCACCTGGGGGCATTCCCACCGGGGTGTTGGGACTTTACCCATGAACGTAAGGAAAGGCTGGTGTTTTATCCTCTCCACTGCTTCCCTCCCTGTGCAGCTAACTCCTGACTCATCCTCTGAGTCTGAGAGGAGATGAGAGGCAGGGGGGTGCTGGCCCTGAGAATCCTGGTAGAATGACTTCCTGGCCACTGGGCCCCATGCCCAGGGAGCCCTGAGTGTCTCTCTCCTCCTCAGTGATTAATGTCATTGCCCAGCCTGCTGTGAGGCCAGCCCTGTGTGCCCTGTCATCAGCAGTGTCCTTTACCTGAGCCAGCAGGACACCTTCACGGAGAGAGCTCCCTGATCTGTGTGTTCTTGAGGGATCTGGGCAGAAACTTGCCAACCTCTGCCACGTGCAAACCCTGTCCGAATTTCTGTATTGCTTTGAGCAGTGTTTACTCAGGCCTCAAGCACATGGTATTGATAGATGCTGCCCGAGTTCCCACAATGTGGCTTGGCCCAGCCCTGGGACAGTACTCTCAGGAACGCCCCATCCTCCTCAGGCCTTCACATGTGGCGGTTGGCTCAAGATTTTGTGTATTCTCAATCATTATGCCATATATCCACAGCTTACAGCTGAGAGTTTGCTCAGCAAATCACATGTACAACCCAGAATGTGCCATTTCCCAGCTCCCTGGAGATCTCATGAGTTGAGAACATGAGCATTTTATGTTGGTAGCAGCACCAGATCCCCAGTCTTTGCAAATAGCCCTGTGGCCACGATTCTTCTAAATCGCTTTCAAGATCACGGAGTACCTTCACATCATGAGCAAATATAATCCAAGCAAAGGGTGATGGACCTCATTGGTTTAGCCACTGGTTTCAAAAAACATGAGGCTACCAAATCCTTATCAGCTTGGCTCATGATGGACTTTGTTTCTCTTTTCCTCAAGAGGCACAAAAGCTCGTGTATTAGTTTTTCATTGCTGTGTAACAAATTTCCACAGATAGAGTGATTGGAAACGACTCTCATATATTATTTCATGGTTGCTGCGGGTCAGAAGTTTAGCACAGTTTTGTTGGGTTCTTGGCCCTTGCTGTCAGCTATCACAAGGCTGAAATCAAGGCTGTGGCTGGCTGGGCTCTTCTCTGGAGATTCTGGGAAGAGTATACCTCCAGGCTCATTTGGGGTGTTGGCAGAATCCAGTCCCTTGTGCTTATAGAACTGCATTCCCTGTTCTTCTCTGGCTGTTGCCCAGAGGTGGGTCTCAGCTCCTAGAGACCCCCTGCAGTCCCTGCTTCATGGCCCCTTCCATTTCAGAATGGATCCTTCACAGGCTTCCAGTTGATCTCTTTTCTGCTAATTTGAAAATTCTTTGCTTTTAAAAGGTCCTACTAGATTACATCAGGTCCACTTAGTCTCCCTATCTAAAGGTCCACTGACAAGAGACTTCCAAGTCATCTGTATGATCCCTTCCCAGCAGTGCCTCCACTAGTGTTTGACTGAATAACCAGGGGACCTCAGGGATCTTGGGGGCCGTTTCTAGCCTTCTGCCCACTGCAGAGCAGCACAGTGAAATCAGCCCCATGTTCCTTCTCTCACCTCACTTGATACTTCCAGGAAGCCTCTGTTGTCAACATATTCTCCATTGTTGTCTCCACCAGCGAGTGCCGGCCACCCTAAGCCTGGAGTGGAGGCGGAGCAGGCTGCTGATGAAGTCATCCAGGACATAGCCTCTGCCCGCAGGGGAGCGGAGAACGAGGGGGAACAGACACTGGAGCCAGAGCCAGAAGGAAGAGCCTCCCTCAGTGAGAAAGAGAGGCAGAACGAGGGGGTGAACGAGAGGGACAACTGCTCGGCCTCCAGCATCTCATCCTCCAGCAGCACGTTGGAGAGGGAGGAGAAGGAGGACAAGCCCTCCGGGGACAGGGCAACTGGTAAATGAAGCCCCTTGTCTCAGTCTGTTCATTCCCGGGAACCCTGGGGTGCAGGACCTGGTTTGCTAGGAGTTTGTCCACAGGCTGGCCTCTCTGGCGACCTGCTAGGTCAGCCCCATTCACCTGCTGGGGAGGAGGATGTGGCCACTCTGTCTGCTAGCAGCTTCCTGCCCCATAGGAAGGTGGCCCCCAACCCTCTCCCATGCTGTTATCATCTGTCATTTCCATAGACGAGAACAGAGTGCAGATAATGAAAAATAAGCCCTGAAAAAGAGAAACTCATTTCCCTCCATTTGTTTCATTGCTAATACTCGTAACTATAGCTCTTTTCAGTTTCTGATTTACGTTTAGAGATAGGTCATCTTATCTACTCTTTTAAAAGATTTTTAAAAGTGAAGTGTGTTAAATCGTTACAACCGAACATTTCAGACCAGATTTGTTATAATGAATTGAATACTTCCAAACCGTTGTGATTCGCAGTGTGCTGAGGTCAACTTGATGTGCTGTGCTGGAACGTACATAGCCTAAGTAGTTGTCTACACTTGACTCATGACCACTATTTATTATAAAATATATGTTTTTCTTTATGGAAGTATATATTTTTGGTGCTGCACTTAATATTTATTCAGTTCTCCTGTGGATGGAGACTTTGTAATTAGAGATCAAATGAAATGTTAAATTTTAGGTTTGACTTAAAAGAACCTCACCAAGGACTTGGGCAGCATGCTGCAGAGGGTGATAGGAATTGTAAGTAATCCAGATGATCTGTGACACTGGAGTATTCCTACCCACAACTTGTACACTATCAGAGTGGTAAAATTTCACCTTCCTCAGTAAACATTCTGTGCACATGTCTCGTGGGTTACCCTTTGTTAAAATACATATGGGTGACACACTTAAGCCTACATTTTGACCCCAAAGGCAGCATCAAATATCCATAAAGGCCTGCTAGGCAGTGCTCTGACTCATGAATGAGTTGATAGCTCCCTGATTAAGAATACATTGACTGGGAATCATGGAAGAGTGAATGAATGAAACCACAGTGTCTCCCAGTAGACCTGTCAATCAATGGTCTGAAATAGTTACTATCTGAAATTTTCCCAGTTAGAATATACTACTAGATTATATTCTCTATATTGCCTCTCACAATGATACAGTAGAAAAGGAGAGCTAAAGATTTTATTAATTTACAACTTATTTACTGCACTGAAAATCTTGTGTCTTCATTTGAAGGTATATGTGTTAGATATACTGGTTTCACGTAATTTTTTCCAAAGACATAATTAATCTCCAAATTCTAGTTATCAGTCACATTACTATAATTATGGTCATGTATAGGCTGTAGGGGAGGTCTTTTTGGTCGGGGTGACCTTAGATCATGTTTTATTTGTTATGACTAGTTTTAAGAATCATTCGTTATAATTGGATTTAGGGCCTGAAACATGTCAACGAGTTGGGTTAGTAAAAATAAGCCAGTCAACAGAACTTTCTTGGATCAGATTGTCCAATATTCTTCTAAATAAGGACAACTTTCTCAAAATGGATATTCTGTTCCCAGTGAAGAACTATTGACTTTCTACCAAAAGTGGGTAATGTCCAAGTGTATAGAATCAGGAATTAGGGCTTCGCAGTTATTTTTCTGCTTTCTTCCAGTGCTGTTAAGAGATTTGGTCATGTTTATTTGCTGTACCTTACTGGTTCCTAAAATACCTTATTGCTGACAGGCACCATTAGCAGCTGTGGAGTCAGGGCGGCTCTGTTATAGATCACAAAATGATCTATTAGAATCTATTTCTAATCACGTCAAAAATGAATTTGTAGGTTTTGAAAAAGTCTTCACTTACTCCAATTATGTGGTTTACTTTTAGTTTCATGTGTTCACTCGATGCCATTAGTGTGAGATGCTTTATCATAGCATTCATTACACTTCATCATGATGATTTGTATAATCGTCTTTTGCCATCACATGAACATCAGCTTTGTGAGGATGGGGATTTTTCCCTTATTATGAGTCCTCATTTCCTAGGTGAAGACCCAGAATATAGTAGGGTCTCACAAAATTATGGCTGAACTAATGGACGAAGAGGCATCTGGCTAAGATGGAGAGGCTCCATTCTTCCCAGGTCCTCTCTCTTACAAGCAAGCAATGATGAAATGCTTCCACTCCTGGGAATGATGGCACAATCAATCAGAGGATGACTCTGAAACATGGTAAGAAAGAAGCAGGTGACCTAGGAAACTCCAGACGTGAGCAACATGGAGTGAGGCTCCAAGTAAAGCCTATTTCTCTAGGGAAAGGAATGCCTAACAGAAAAGAAAACCTTTCTGGCTATGAAAATGCTTGGCCCACCCTAGACAAACACTAGTGGCAAATCTGGCCTAGAGTTGTTGGGTGCCTACCAGAAGCTGAACCTCCACTTCACATAAAGGCAATGAAGCAATGTGGAGAAGAAGTCTAGTTCTCCTGGGAAGATGCCAATGGGGTCAAAGGAGGGAGGCACTGACCTTCCACCCTACTCATCTGCAGTGAGGTGGTGGGGCAATGTGTCTTTGCTGGGGTGGTGACAGCAGGGGCCTGAATATGTACCTCCAGAAAGACCTGTATACTACACCTGCTGAAAGAGAAGATTAAATAGGATCCAAATTCTAGCAATAATACTTAAAAGTATACAGTACAAATTATACAGTACAAAATCACTCATATCAAGGACTAGGGCAGTCACAAATTAAATAGGAAAGTATTAACAGATGCCAATACCAAGATAAGCCAGACACTGGTATTAGGTGACAAATATTTTAAAGCAGCCTGCATTATAATGCATCAGTGAGTGGTTATAAACACCAGGAAATTTGTGGGAATAGTAGAAGATATAAAAAAGAACCAAAGGGAAATTATAGAATTGAAAAACATAATAACCAAAATAAAATTTTGAAAGGGCTCAATAGTAGATTGAAGACAGCAGAGAGCAATCAGCATGGTCAGTGGACTTAAAAACAGGTTGGTAGAAGTTACCAAATCTGAATTACAGAGAAAATATGGACTAAAAAAATGAACAAAGCCTCAGGGATCTGTGGGACCATAAGACTAGATCCAGTTTATTGAAGTCTGAGGAAGAGAGAGAAAGAGAGAGAGAGAGAGAGAGAATGCAATGATGAAAAAACCTTGGAAGAAATAGTGGCCCAAAACTTTGCAAATGTGTCAAAAGGTATAGATTGCTTACAGAGCTGGGAAGGTGAGAAAATCCCAAATAGGATAAATCCAAAAACATCTACTCCAAGACAAATGACAATCAAATCTCTGAAAAATAAGTTTTAAAAGAGGCAAGAAAGAGATATCATGTTACAGATGCCTTACGGACAAGGAAACACCAGTTCAAATGACAGCAGATTATGTGTCTGAAGGCATGGAGGCTGGCAGGCAGGGGCCCAGCCTTTGGCAAGTGCAGGAATTCTGTATTCAGCATCTTCCTTAAGAATGAAGGGAAAGGGCTCCTAGGCACAGGGTTTGGCTCTGTCCTGATACCTTTATAGGGATACTCCAGTGTAAGGCTGGCCTCAGACCAGTGTTTTCAAGACTATGAGTTGTAGCTCTTCACATGAATCGGTTTAATGACTACCATTTAAAACAATGAAAAGAATTAGTAAAGAACAGAAAACCTAATTAGAATAAGTATTGTTTTGTAAAACTTAGTACATATGCACAGATATTTGTAGTTAGATTTGTTTATGTGTACTCTGATGTAAAATGTATTTCTTCATTATTGCTGTACTGTGGGCCATGGCTAAAGAAGTATTGCCTTAGAATGTCCTAGACACCCATATCTTTAAATTCTCCAGAGGAGATTGAATAGCCTTTTAGATGAATACCTTCATTCCAACTCATATTTTAGGGAAATGTGAAATAACCACCCTTGGTATTTCTGTATAAAAAATGTTTTCTGGAAAAAAAAAAAGGAATGAAGGGAAAGCAAGACATTTTCAGATGAGGAAAAGCTATGAGAATGTGTCCCTAGCAGACCTACCCTTACAGAATGCCTAAAATTTCCTATACAGAAGGGAAATGACAAAAAGCTTAGAACTTCAAGAAGGAAGGGATGACAGAATGGATGAAAATCAGGGTAAATAAAATAGACTTTCTTTCTCCTCATAAATGTTTTAAACCGTGCTTGACCGACGAAGCCAAGATTATACCGTTTGATGTACTGCTCTATGTAAATAGAAGAAATATTTAAGATGATCACATTTAAAAAGTGGGGAAGTTCAAGGGATCTACATGGAAGTAAGTGAGTTTTCACTCACTCAAAGTGGTGAAACATCAATACTATTAGACCATGATTAGTTAGTGTGTTTATTTATTTATTTATTTATTTTGTAGAGGGAGAGTCTCACTTTATTGCCCTTGGTAGAGTGCCGTGGCATCACATAGCTCACAGCAACCTCCAACTCCTGGGCTTAGGCAATTCTCTTGCCTCAGACTCCTGAGTAGCTGGGACTATAGGCACTGCCACAATGCCCAGCTATTTTTTTTGTTGCAGTTCAGCCAGGGCTGGGTTTGAACCCACCACCCTTGGTATATGGGGTCAGCGCCCTACTCACTGAGACACAGGCGCCGCCCTAGTGTGTTTATTTTAATACCTAGAGCCACTACTAAGAAAACTATATATGAAGCAATGTACTTTAAAACACCATAGGTAAATCAAGATTAAAAAATGTTGAGAAGGATGCAGGGAGGATGATTAAAGGTTACATATATAGAGTTTGATAGAAGAAATCTAGTGGGTTATAGATCAGTAAGGTGACTGTGCCTTATAATAATCTGTTGTCTCTTTCAAAATAGCTAAAAGAGTATAATTTGAATGTTTATAGCATAAAGAAAAGACAATAAATTTTCACACTTACCCTGAAATATGTACCCATAGCTCAGTGGGTAGGGTGCCGGCCACATATACCAAGGCTGGCAGATTCAAACCTAGCCCCAGCCAGCTAAACAACAATGACAACTGCAACAACTGCAACAAAAAAATAGCCAGGCGCCTATAGTCCCAGCTACTTGGGAGGCTGAGGCAAGAGAATCACTTAAGCCCAAGAGCTTGAGGTTGCTGTGAGCTGTGACGCCATGGCACTCTACCCAGGGCGACAGCTTGAGACTTTGTCTCAAAAAAAAAAAAAAAAAAGAAAGAAAAAAGAAATCTGTTTTAATAACTGAAAAGTAAAAAGAAGTTCAATTAACCTACGGAGACCAAACAAGGAGAAATAGGAGCTGAAACGAAGAAAACAAACAATACACGGATAAGGGCAGACTTAAGTCCAAATGTATCAGTAATTACTTTAAATTAAAAGAGATTGGCAGCCTACTGCGGGGGCAGCAGCAATGGTGGCGACTGTGTTTAGGACAAGTGAGAGTTCCAACTTTCCTACTGTTCTGGGAGGCATTGGGCGCAGAGGTCGCGATGTCAGAGAGAAAACAGCCAGTAGACTTGGGTCTCTTAGAGGAGGACTATGAGTTCGAGGAGTTCCCTGCCGAAGACTGGGCTGGCTTAGATGAAGATGAAGATGCACATGTCTGGGAGGAGAACTGGGATGATGACAATGGGGAGGATGACTTCTCCAATCAGTTACGAGCTGAATTAGAGAAACATGGTTATAAGATGGAGACTTCATAGCATCTACAAGTGTTGAAGTAACCTAAACTTGAACTGTTTATTAAATTCTAGGATAGAAAACCAAGGACGAAACTTAAAAAAAAAAAATGTTTGTTTCATATTTGATTTATTTTTGTTTTTGTAACAAAAATAAATGTTTTGATCTAAAAAAATAAATAAAAATAAAAGAGTTTGGCAGAGTGGACCCCCCCCCCAAAAAAAACTTATGGCCCAATTATTTGCTATCTGTCCAAAACTCTTTTCAAACATAATGACATGGGTAGATCACAAGTTAGAAGTGGGAAGAGATAAATCATGTAAACATCAGTCAGAGAAGATTGGAGTGGCTGTATTAATATCAGATAAAGTAGACTTCAGAGGAAAGGAAATGTATAAGGTCAAAGAAAGACACTATAAACCTATAAAGAAGACAGTTATGAATGAAGAGGGCACGTGAGAAAACCAGCATTTAAAAATATGACCTGTTAACACTCTTTTTCCCAGTGGAAGAAAGTGCCGACATTTCCTAATAAGTGGAGAAGGCATGTGGCCATTGTTCAGAAGGGCTCAGCCGCTTTATCTGCTGCCGCCTCCTGGCATCAAAGCCATCTCACTGTTTGCAGGGTCATCCTACCAAGCGTGGAGACTTCACACAACCAGACTTTTCAGTCTTACCCTTGAGTGCCATCTCATCATCTCTCTTTGACTGTAGTAATTTCTTAAGTGTGTTTTGTTTGTAAAGCCTAAAAGAGGGGTCAAGGGCACCTTGTTCTGGTGTTGAGGAGTCCTAAGGTGTCCTAGTCAGGTTAGGCCACTGTTGAGCAGAGGACAGAGAATAAAGGTTATGTTGGAAGGAACAGAGAGAGCCCCAGGGGAAACTTGTGCACCCCTGGTAAATGCCTCATCCAAAGTCAAGGCAGGGTCACATGTGGGAGCCAGTCACCACCCTCAGCATGTTGGGGGAAATCTCCTGTGAAGCCCCTGATGCTAACCTGTGGCCTGAGTCTCCCTTGGAGCTAACCCCCAAAGCACCCATCGCTGGGCCCTGCCAGCCCCAGGGAAGCAAGCCCAGCTCAGTAACACTCCTGCCACCCACCCACCCTCCATTCATTCAGTTGTTCTAGATGTTGGAAGCGCAGCAGTGAGCAAAACTAACCCGAATCCTATTCCTGACTTTATATCCCATGAAGAAGTTTAGTGGGTAGTTATAAAAGTTCCACTGATAGGACAAAGGCAGACAATAAAATAAGTTAAATGTGTGGACGATGGGAGAGTAATAAGGGCTTGATGGGAAAACAAGCAGGAGAGGGGCCTAAACAGTGGGGAAGGGAGGGTGCACAATTTTAATTGAGGTGGTCGGGTAGGACTTCACTGAGAAGAGATAATTTTAACAAAGGTCCACAAGCAAACTGTGTAATTAACTGTGTGCACTTTGTCCCTGGAGGGGCAAAATTCCGAAACCAGATTGTGCCGGGTGGGTCTAAGGAACAGGAAGAAGCTGCTTTGGCTGAAGAGGTTTCTGTGTGTCTGGGTGGCAGTGGCAGGAGAGGAAAGAAAAGGCCCTGCTGACATCGCGTCATTGGCTTCTCCTCTCAGTAAAACATGGTACCATTGGAAGGCTTTGAGCAGAAAGATTTCATCAGAAATTTTAATAATTCATGTAGCTGTTGGGGTAAGAACTAGTTGTCAAGAGGCAGGAAGGGAAGCAGAGGACCAAGCTGGAACACCCCACAGTACTGTAGGCAGGAGCCCACGCCACCTTGGCCCAGGGACCTGGCAGTAGTGCTGCTGAGAAAAGCGGTGGGTTCTGGAAATGACACCAAGATGCAGCCAGCAGGAAGGCCTGCAACGCTGGATGTGGAGGATGAAGGAGCTGGAGGAGTCAAGGATGACTCTGAGGTTTTTGGAAGTGGCAGCAAGGGGGATGAAGTTGCCTTAGCTGAGGTAGCAGAGGACCACAGAAGGCACGACTTCATGAGGGGCGGGGCAGGAGAACTCTTCCCGACTGGTACACAGAGCCCCGAGGCCAGATGAGATGAAGATGGAAGAGTGAGTGTCAATGGAGGGAAGAGGTCCAGGGACAGCGGAAGGTTAAAGATAGGAGGAAGCAGCAACAGAGACTGAGGAGGAGTAGCCAGAGAGAAGGAAGCAAGCCAGGCGCTATGTCCTAGACGCAGGGAAGGGTGTGCATGAAGGAGCCAGTGACCAGCTGTGTCTCAGTGTGCGAGTCGCTGGTCACCTGGAAAGCAGTGGCTTTGAAGCCTGGTGGGAGCAAAAGCTCCATTCAGATGGGTCCAAGATAGAATAAAAGAAATTGGAGACAGTGATCAAAACAACTCACATGAGCAATTTTACCTTGAAGAGAAAGAAGTTGAGTGGCAGCTAGAGGGGTAAAGGAGGCCAAGGGAGGTATTGCTATTCTAAGATGTCTATTTTACAAACCATTATATGGTGATTATGTGTACGTTTATGGTGATGTATGTGTGCCAGAAGGACGGATCTAGTGTGAGTGTCATGGGAGAAGTGGAACATGACCACATGGAGTGGGTACTAAGGTGGGGGGAACGGTTGACCTCTTCTATGAGGCGTGAGGGGGGATGGTGGGAGGGGAAGCCATTCACTGAGATGCCTGTGGGAGGGGGCAGGAGAGGAGGAGAGCAGGAGCAGGGGCTCTGGAAGATCCCTTCTGACTTCGCCTGTTCAGTTGGTGAACTGGGAAACAAGGATGCCCCTGAGGATGAGGTGGGTTTGGGAAGGCAAAGTGTGAGAGGTTACCTGGGAGAAGGAATGCCTGAGAGTGCCAGGCAGCACTAGGAAGCCGGGAGACCAGTGACCATGAACTTAAAGTATGATCACTGGCATGGTTTGTGCGTCTCCCCCGGCACCTTGAGCTGCACTAGTGCAGATTCTGGATAGGGGAGGGAAACAGAGGTAACCTTATGGCCTCTTCAACACCTGCTCTTAGCCCGGGAGTAGCTTCCTGGCCTCCCCCATGTCTAGTTAGGACAGGGACTGCTTAGCTCCCTGTGAGTGAGTCCAGATGGGCTGCCACTGGTGGACAGGAAAGGTGACGAAGATTTCTTCCATGAGCCCAGGTAAGAGCCAGGAGTAGTGTCATACCTGGAAGTGTCCTGGGTCCTGGCTCGGGTCTTCAGAATTGTGAAGTAACCTCTCTTCTTGGTCAAGAGTACTTTGTCAACCCCAGCCACTTTCTGCCTTGATTGCTGTATTTCAGTGTGTTCTCTGGAGTCTCCCTTGTGTGTCCTTGTAACTTTCTCATTTTTTCTCTCTCGTGTACTTTCAGGTTTGTGGGCCTCAGGTGTTCAGGATGCAGGTGTAAATGGACAGTGTGGTGATATCCTCACCAGCAAACGGTTCATGCTGGACATGCTGTATGCCCATAACAGAAAGTCCCCAGGGGACAGTGAGGCCACGAGGACCCAGCTGGAGGCAGAGGCAGTCACCAGCCTTGCTGCCAGGGTCTCCACCCTGCAGGCCAACTCCCAGGCCCAGGATGAGAGTGTCAGAAGGGCGGACGTTGGCTGTTTGGACAATCGGGGCAGTGTGAAAGCATTTGCAGAGAAATTCAACAATGGGGACCTGGGGAGAGGGTCAGTGTCCTCTGATTCTGAGCCCAATGACAAAGTCCCGGAGACAGCACCAGCACAGCTGAAGACAGAGTCTGATTACATCTGGGACCAGCTCATGGCCAACCCAAGGGAGCTCAGAATCCAAGACATGGATTTCACTGACCTTGGGGAAGAAGATGATATTGATGTCCTGGACATGGACCTGGGTCACAGGGAGGCCCCCGGACCACCTCCCCCACCTCCACCCACCTTTCTGGGTCTCCCGCCCCCGCCCCCTCCCCCCCTGTTGGACAGCGTGCCTCCCCCTCCCGCCCCTGGTAATTTATTGGCTCCTCCTCCTCCGATGTTCAGCGCTCCTCAGGGCTTAGGGTGGTCCCAGGTACCCAGGGGTCAGCCCACATTCACTAAGAAAAAGAAGACCATCCGTCTGTTCTGGAACGAAGTTCGGCCTTTTGAGTGGCCATGTAAAAACAACCGACGCTGCAGAGAATTCCTGTGGTCAAAACTGGAACCCATTAAGGTGGACACTTCCAGACTGGAGCACCTGTTTGAGTCGAAATCCAAGGAACTGTCTGTCACTAAGGTACTGCTCACCTCCGCATGCTTCTTGATTTTCAGTTGCATAGGGCTAAAGAGATGTTTTGTGTAAAATACTCTTTGTGTTGGTAATAAGTCCATTGGTATAAAAATCTGGCCTTTAATAATCCTTGTGCTAAGCATAAGGTACCTGAATCAGAGGACCTTACTAGCTAACATGGGTTCAGTTCACTAACCATTAGGCAAAGGAGATTTCACAGAACAAAACCCTGAGGCAAATCTGAGGAATATTCACATAGACCAGTAACAGATCTTTTTTTTTTT